TGTACGGAGCAGTGTGACAGACACAGCTACTTGATAACTTACTATCCTTCAGAATAACTGGAAGCCTAGCATTTTGATCAAACGACTTCTCTGTAGAACATTTTCTTAAGGTGAGTGTGAGAGATTTTGTAGCCGTATACCAATTGTCACTGCTTTTAATACAGCAAGAAGTTACTGATCATAAAGAGGAGTTTGTAGTTGAAACAAACATAAGGTAATGTTCGCATCAATCATATTATTTTGACAAGTGGCTACAGATAGGTGGCTGTGAACTACTGTGAAAATCCAACATGAAATACTATACTTAAGTAATTAAGTCATCGATCTCACAACACAATAGGTTTATCTGGAAATTATACCTATACAACAAATGCCTACAAATCACTGTCACCAAACTTGATTCAGCGACATTGATAAAATAATTGACACGTGTCAACAAAATCCAACACAAAATTTAGAACTAGCGACCGATATCGGATTCGTCGTGCAGTTAACTGAGGGAAATGTAATTATGTGATACGCTGCGTTCTAGCGGCGGCGGCTAGTCTGCGGCGTAATCGTTGCGTATGTACCTCTGTCGAAAGTTAAGGCATCGTTCATACCAAACGTATTTTCGGCCACTAACTGTAAGCGCGCCTTACTTATTTCATCGCTTTTTGATATATGTATATTTACCATCTCGTTCACACTGAAACGACTGACTATATGCCATTACGTAGTGAGGTTGACAGTGAGCATAGGTATTCATAATGTAATCGGCGGCGGACAGCACGTTTGGTGTGAACGATGCCTAAGTCAGTGATTTGCGCTCGAGTTGTTTTGATACGTTTATTTTATAGGGTAGCCGCTTAGAATTGGTTTAAGTTTAGGTCTGAAACTGCCTGCCAAAAATAGGAGGTACTAACTCAAAAATCTCTGTGTAGTTGTATGTACACTTAGTAGACAATTTCTCGTAGTAATCAAGAAGATATACCCACATTTTAGTAGACAATTTTTAATGTAAACATAAATTGAAAATTATTGTAACCGATTATTGTCAGATATTGTCGACAGATGCAGGACCAGAGAAACATAAAAAACATAATATTATAGCACATGACACTCACATAAAATTAATACCATGGTTCCCATAGTGGAATTGAGAACAATACTGACTCCCTGAATACTGAACTCCTTAGTAGTTAGATATGTATTGCTTATTCATGTAAAGAAATACCCACAGAAATATTAAATCTTTATTGTATCTCTGGATTACCTAACCAAACTTAGACTTAAAATTCCAAATTAAGCCGACAATCCATTACTCTTTAATTAATACTATTCTGTCATTTAACAACAACAAACGGTGAAAGATAACATCGCGAGGCAAACCTGGAGTTATAATTTCCAATCATAATATTGATATAATAATTGAGTAAGCGTGGTGATTAATGCTAGAACCATATGCCCCTCTGAAGAGGCTTTACGCACTTTACTCAACAATGGGCACTTATAGGCTGTTGATGGTGATGATGGACTTAGCAACTTCATAATATAGAAAAGATTGACTTGTGGTCATTGGGGGAGGCCTGTATTCAGCAGCAGACGGCTAATGATGAGATGATGCCAATTATCATTGATATATGTATATAGATCTATGTAATTAATAGCAATGAGAGAGTGATGCAAAAACAAACATAATAATAATGTACCAATCCTAAAACTAATTTTATTAATAATAACCAATTCAATTAACTAAATTCAATGTCTGGCTATGAGCTTAACGGTCACTAGCACTGCATTCGTAGACTAATTAATTATCAAAACTAATAAAATTATATTTTACAGCCGCATTTGCAATGGCATATTCCCAAACTATTTTTCTGATTGGATTTGATCCTATACCGACGTACAGGACATCGATGGTGTTATCCCATGCTTTTACTTACTTATAAGTTAACACACGTAGTGTTAATATATTACCATGCTGTTTGTATCTCTTATGGTATTATGATAATAGTCTCGTATTACAATTTACTTATTAGATTTGTAATGTGTGTCTACCTATTATAGGCGGAATTTAAATGTCTATCTAGGAAAAGAATATAAGGGCTAAGGACCGATTTGTCCAACGCCAGTTAGATTTTATCAGAGGAATAACTTGGACTGCCTCGGTGGCCGAGTGGTCGCAAGTGCGACTGGCGGGCAAGGAGTCCCGGGTTCGATTCTCGGGTCTGGCAAAATATTACTGGGTTTTAAAAAAATCTCCGTAGTAGCACGGAGTCTGGAAATAAGCCACCGTATAGGTATAGCAATAGGCTCACCCTCTATTACATGGGACCCATAACATAAATAGTGAAAAGTGGGTGTTACATTGTACAGTGGCATTAAGTGCCGTAATGTGCGCTTCTGCCTACCCCTTCGGAGATGTCGCGGAGAACCTAACGGGTAACCGGGGCTCCGGCTCGACGTGCAGGAGAAGGAACGGGGTGGTTTTTAGTCAGTAAGAGTCTGACACTCCCTCCCGCCTCACCCAGGCGGGGGCAGTCATTCGATGATTTTCCCCCCTTAAAAAAAAAAAACCCCCTTCGGAGATAAAAGGCGTGATGTTCTGTTATATGATGTAACTTGGAATATTTGACAATTCATTCATACTGAAACTACTACCTCTCACAGCCTTTTTGCAGCTTACCACCTACCACATACATTTCTGCACTACCCAAAGGATGACTGGCAGGGAATGCAGTTAGCATTAAACTGTCAAACACCAAGCGGTCACCGGTGACCGCATCCTATTGTTCTATAATTGTGTCTACAAAACCGGTACTCGACGAGTTAAGTCTTCCTTATGCAATTATATAAAACTTAAATAAATAAATAAAAACTGTAAAATGTCAATTTTATTCTACCGTTAAAAAATATCTGTTGTTTGTAAAATCGCCCTAAAAAGAATAACAAAAAATTTTGAATCATGTTTTTAAGTACTTAGTTGTTAGCAACTGTTCCTAAAATAGACCAAATTATTCTCATCTTACGAGTACAGTATATCTTATCTTAGCTTTGCCATAATCTCTAGACAAGTCTATAGACTGATTGGAGACCGCATATTAAAAGGTTCAGCTTTTTCAAAGAGCACTGCCAGCTATCGGCATTTTTCGCGGGAAGAGTGGGGATGACTTGGTGATAAAGTATGTAGGCAATATTCATCCCTATAGACGATAAATAGTAAGTAATATCGGTTTTTATGGGATAAGCCTGTAAATGAGTAGACGGATCGCCTGATCGCCTATGGACTGGACACCTGAAATACCAGAGGCGTTACAAATGCGTTTAAGGCCTTTTGAGGATTATGAATTTGAGGATTGTGGAGGATTCAGCGATTGGAGAGATGGAGGAGGATAATTCGGTAACCTCACTCGCACGACGATACAAAACCAAAAACAACCCACACTTGCGGTGGTTTCTTATGAAAGATAGTCCGTAGGTACACTTTTAAACAGTTTTCTCTAGCAATAATTGACCCAACTAATTCTTCTGTATATTTACTGTCGGTATAAAAATTGATATGGTTCAAACAACAGAACATATAAAGAAGATGTTCAAACGCTTGAATCAATATATTCTTATTCTCATTCGCTTAGCATCACAAAAATGATGTTGTAAGCTTTTTATGTTCCATTTGAATTTCTCCCGGATTTTTATGACGTATTATATAAAAAAATCTAAACATTCTATGACATAGAATGGGTTTTGAACTCACTATAATACTATTATGCATTAATTGGAGTACCTGATCGGGAGATAGGGATTTGTTTCCCGGCCGGCACAATGTTTTGTGTCATCCACACCTGCATGGATGTCTCGTCTACTGAGCAAGTAGATACCGTGTGAGTACATAATTTGGTATATGAATAAAAGAATTATTATTATTATTGTATGTCTCTACCATTCACGGGACCACAGAGTCCCGGTCATTTGGGAGGCGTAGGTACGAGGGGCCGAAGCCAACTGCGGAGAGGCCCTTTAGACAACTTTAATCTAAATGTAATGGACACACAAACCGGCGACTATCCCTGTATGCACTATGGAAATGCACCCAAGGACAGTCCCCAGTTAGTGTAGAACCATTGTGGATAATGGAAAACAAAGGTAGGGCTATGGATGGGTTGCTGTGGTCTGGAAAATTGGGAACTATGGATGACTATGGCACCTGCCGAAACAATTTATTAATTATTAAAAGTTCTTTCTGTGCAATTCGTTATTATTGTCAGCTACAAGACGTCCCTCCGCACATAGACCACCTCCAACGACTTCTATGCCATTATACATACATAAAGTAGGTATGTGATAAGATAAAAGAGATTTTAAAAAAGTAAGGGATTCCAAATAAATAGCAAAAAAGGTACTAAAGGTTATTGTACTTAGTAACTTAAGTTCCCGCCTACCAATTTGGCGCGCTTTATTTCTTCAGATTAACCTTTCTACGTTTTATTAAAAACATTTATTTGAACTACTATTAAAACAATTTTCTATCTGTCAATCATTTAGTTCGCTAAAAATAAAAACGTCGAAATCCCTACATGTCTAAAACAGGATTTTATATAAAAAATAAAATTTCACTGTAATGCTCGGTACATTTGACACATTTCGGTTGTAAAAATAGAAAATGTTGTTCATTTATGAACAATACCTAACAGTATGTTAATATTTTAGCTTTGTAGCTAACACACCATTTTCTACATTTTTACATGAATTATAATTATTATTAATATCCAAGTTAATTTTAATGCAATTTTCATATTGTTAACAAGTTAGATATTTGAAGATGTCTAAACTAAACCAAAACCAAATCAAACCAAATCTGTACTTATCCTACCTAACTTATCAATTCAAAGTTTGAGAACTAGACAAAGTATGACAGAGGTAGCTTATTTGAACAAAATAACGATAACGGAACAAAGTGTCTAATAATTGCTAACAAATCAAAATAAAAATAAAATAAGAAGAAAAATATTGCTTACCTTTCGTCGATACGGATGGAACGGAATAGCTGCAACGGTAAGCGATCGGCGACCGGAACTTTGCTCGTCGTACGAGCGAGCAGGATACGCGCGCGTTCTCAACGACTTCAAGGCGAGAAGTGACGCGATCGCGGACCAACCACCGACATTATACCGCTTCTCGCTACTCGCTCCGCTAGTCCGCTACCCAAGTTGCTTCGCTAGTATCCTACCCTACCCTGCGCGACTGTCACTTGGGTTTTCTCCAGACATTGAACAAATTACTTTTTTTTTTTCAGTTAGTATTAACTTGTGTTTCTTTTGTTGTGTAGTGTCTGGCAATCATAGTGTCGTTTAAGAACAAATGTTTGGAGTTTATGATTATCTGCTAGGCAGTCTTGCGAGTTCGATTCCCAATTGGAAATGATTTATGTGTTCCACAAATTGTCGTACGGGTTTCAGCACATTCATATTATGTAAATACAGCATTTTACTATACACATATATTTCGTGGACCAAAGGCAATTTCGTACCAATGCATCAATGCAGCATTATTCACCCTCTATTACATGGGACTCATAACATAAATAGTGAAAAGTGGGTGTTACATTTTACAGTGGCATTAAGTGCCGTAGAATGTGCACCTCTGCCTACCCGTTACCCGCCCTTAATGTTATGTTATGCATTGTGCGAGATTTTATTAATATCAATTACAACAACACAGAGTATAATTCTATTGTTCATATATTAGCTTTAAAAAAACTAACTTCAAACCCCTCTTTTTTAAACTGTCAAACACCGCGAGGACACCGGTGACCGCAACCTATTGTTCTATAATTGTGTCTACAAAACCGGTACTCGACGAGTTAAAGGAGGTCAATTAATATACTGAAACCTTTTCTTAAGTGTAACAAACACGTTTCTGAAGTGAAAACTGCGTCGAAATAGGTTCAGCCAATCACGAGATAACTGACAAACATGTACATACCTACATACATTATACAGGTTAAATTGAGAACCTCCCATTTTGAAGTGAGTTAATATGGGCTGGCTAATCTCATTGATACACACTCTTATTAGTGTAGGTACAATTGATACACACTCTTATTAATGTAGGTACAAATTACCAAGTAATTAGTTAGTTACTTATTGAGACGATTAACTTGTGCTCCTACTTTTAAGGAAATCTTTCAGAATAAGATATGCGTGCCGAGGGCATGAAACTATACATTGACGTGAGAGACGTCCCGTTTTGAACGGAACCGCCGTTTTTATAATTACCAGTCCTTTTCTCCCCAAAATGAAAATAGGACACAAAATTGTTCCATTTTCAGAAACCACGCGAAGATTTGAATAGTCGAATCTATGCGACGACTGTTCGGACGGCTCGAGTGGTGTGCGAAAGCAATTCAGCATCATACATTACTCGCTGACGAAGTACAGTCGAGAAAATGTTTAATTTCTTACATTTTTGTGCAGTTAGTAGTCAACCATTTTGTTGTGGGCACAAAGTTTATATTTACAGTTTCTATAATAAGATCTAGCTACTATATCTCAATGAGCGAATATCCCTTTTTGAGTTCTAAAATAAATGGTCAATGCTCTATCAGCTCATTTTAATACAAAATCTATGGATATGGTTCGACTATTGAAATTTAATTGTATCGAGTTTATGTTAAAAATCGGTCTCAATTCACAGGTTTTGAATTAAGCGGAAAGAAAAGAAACGAAAGAAAGATAAGAGAAACGATTCATAAAGCCACGACACATTGGGCTCGCTGCCATCGCAGCGGTAAGTCCCCTCTTTGAGGAGTGGCTTGAGAGACGCTACGGCGTCCTCACCTACCGCCTGACGCAGGTCCTCACCGGACATGGCAGTTTCGGGAGGTACCTGTGTCTGATGGGGCGGGAGGAAACGCCCGGGTGTCATCACTGCGAGGACCGCCCTGAGGACACGGTGGAACACACGGTGGGAGAATGCCCTTCGTGGGCTGAGCACCGCCGTGTCCTCAGGGAAGTGATCGGCGATGGCGACCTCTCGCGTCCGGGCCTAGTGCGGGCCATGATGCGGAGCGAGGGGGACTGGGATGCCGTCTCCTCCTTTTGCGAAGCAGTCATGCTAGCTAAGGAGGAGGCGGGACGCGTGAGGCAGCGAAGCGCTGCCTCCTCGCAACCCAGCCATCGCAAAGGACACACCGGGCGTCGGGGATCGCGGGACGATCTCCGGCCACCGTAAGCGCGGGCCTGCGGACGGCGAGCATGGGTGGCTCCCCGTCCGACCAGAAACAGACCCGAGCGTACGGCGCGTCGCGTTCCGCGCGCGCCTCAAAGAGCCATCAGATCACCACAGATGGGGCCCAATAGGGCCGATGCCGATTCGGAGTCGCGGAGAACCTAACGGGTAACCGGGGCTCCGGCTCGACGTGCAGGAGAAGGAACGGGGTGGTTTTTAGTCAGTAAGAGTCTGACACTCCCTCCCGCCTCACCCAGGCGGGGGCAGTCATTCGATGATTTTCCCCCCTTAAAAAAAAAAAAAAAAAGCCACGACACACGCGTAGACTAGAATACAGGTATACATAAAAAGATCGCTCATTGAAATCGGCAGTACAGCAAGGCAATGAAGATGCGAAGTAAGAACCTGACAAGTAGCAAGAAATCTTTTCTTTTAAGGTTAAGCAAGTAATAGATAAAACTTGGCGGATTTTCCTTTGAAATTAATAATCTCAAATCGCCAAATAGCAGTGTTGTAAGGGAACACTTACAGTCACATAAATATTAAAATCATTCTTTATTATATCTATGCTTACAAAGTGTTGTAAGCTACACTACTGGCCACCGCCTCTTCTCACAGGTCACTACCTGTGAGAAGAGGCGGTGGCCAGTAGTGTGAGTGTGCTTTTTTAGACTCGAATGTATATATATACGTATTTCAAGAATTGCCACTCAATTTCAACACAGATAAAACTACGTTTAAAAATACCGATTTCAGAAACATTGAACAAACAACCAAAAACATAATTATTCATTGTACTCAGTACCTAGTCCTACCAACAACACGTATTGAAAGTTAAGAAATCGGTGTCCCTAGTCCTGGACAAAACTATTTATGAAAACTTTGGTAGGTAGTATTAGTGGTTGAGTATTTCCGTATTTTTACGAGAACCCTCAATAGAGTCAACACACTCGACGTGAAAAACTAAGAACTCAAAATAAACAAAAATAGTTAAAACTAAAAAAGCAAAAAGTAACTAACTATGTCTTATGTATGTGTTAGGTTACCGACCCACTAGCCAGTAAGAATGCCGTGAAGCACGTAAAAGATTGCCTGGTCTCCGGCTCAAAGTGCAGGAGTAGGAACGGGGTGGTTTTTAGTCAGTAAGAGTCTGACACTCTCCTGCCTCACCCAGGCGGGAGAAGTCATTCGAATATTTTCCCTCCTTAAAAAAAAATAAGCCGATAAGAATTCTATGCCACAAGACAATAGCAACTAAGCTGCATACAGTTAGATAACATAATAGATGATTCCTATAATAGGTAAGTACTATTACGGTTATGGCAAAGTAGTAACCCGTATTTCTAGAAGATTTTCAATAATTTCTGTGTGACTAGCATACTGTTAGACAGAACAATTAACTAAGGACCTTTAAAAAAAAATTAAGAGCAAAATAGCTTTTAGTTTTTTTTATGATTAATCTAGAAGCTGACTTTAAGATGTGGGAATGAAAAATTAAAATTTGGAAGCTTGTAAGATTCTTTTATAAAACCATTTGTATCAAACAAACATGTATTTAGATTAAATTCACTTTGGAGCATACAACACTGTTTGTTTGGGATATTTAGACCCACAAACAAAAGTTAATTTAGCTTTAAGGAAACCTTTCAGATATTTTTTAATTTCAAAAATAATCTTATGTGACCAACCATGACATTTGGGACGACGGATTTATGGGTGAAAGGTAGCTAATGACCTCCCAAACTCCTGAAATTTTTTTGTCGGCCCATGCGCCAGTCACCCTGAATAATAAAAAAATCTTATCCCACTTATTATATAAAACTGAAATGCGCTAATTATAGTAATTTTGACCTCGATAAACACTTTTACTTAACCTGTCATGCAGTCATGGTTTCCCTATTGACTATTCCGTATATACCTACTTACCCATTTTACTATAAAGAAGGTACCCATACTCCACAATAGGCCGCTAACTGAAAAATACCCTTAGGCGCATTTCAATACTGCATACTGCGATAATTATCAGTCGGTGTCCCATTTCAATTATATTTAAAGTGGTCCGGATAACTAGAGGTAGACTTTGAATAGAAAAGATAATGAAGAAAAATTGAGTAACCGTTTAAACATTGGAATATTGTCATTTCTCGAGTCTGAAGGTATGTATTAATATCTGAGACAGTACTTAACTAATTGTAACCTCTGATTACAGACACACAGCGGGAAAATTACAGGTCTGATAATAGTGATAATAGTTGTCACTTACGCTCATCTTTCAAACCTTTTTTCTCTTATGTAGTAATCAAAATCTACTTAATACCTATGTACTAAACTAGTAGGTCCCGGTCGTAGACCTGTCTCAGTCAGTAATAGTAAAGGATATGCTGGCAGAGACTGAAAATTGAAAGAAAGTGGCCTCATTTTATGAGCCAGTAATGTCACAGAAGGATTTCATAGCGGGTTCACGAGAAAGTAGATCCTGCTCGTAAGTCGTTGATGGCGTGGAGTAGGCAACCGCTATGACGCTTAACACGCTGTAATCTCTTTTGCCTTTGGGACCACGAGTGCATAGAGTGGGGTGCGCACCCAGTGGCCCCAGGAAAGACTGAGCACAATGGTCACGTGCTGCCGCGCAACTGTACAGTCAGGCGCAACGGAGACGCGTGTCTCCCTAGGGATGTGCCAGGCGTAACAGGCGTTGAATGCGGGGGCTTTGGAACAGGTCTGTTAGAGGCCCCGGTGCTCCATACAGGTGCTGAAGGTGGCCACCGGGGTGCTTTAAGTGAGGGAAATATCCTACACTCCCTAATCTTTCTTCCCAAAAAGCCAGGCGTCATTTGAAGGTTTCTCCTAAATAGTACTACTTCTTAATTTGGGCACTAAAACTGTATAATTTTAGTATGTATTTGCGTAACAATAATAGTATTTTCAGAGCTTTGGTAGCTCAACAAATGATATCTGTCGGTTTATTAGTGAACTACTTAATAATTATGTTGTTTGATCTGGGAGCTTTTTGGCAAAGGTCTTCGATTCACTATAATAAACAGTAGCTTAAAGGTAATAACAAGTTTCTCATGGATTTTCTATTATTTTTCGGAATAATATACGCTTTATAACGAACACTGGCATTTTCACTACGGAACTGACGCTGCAACGCACGTGCAGTCAGTGGTATCCACTTCTTTTAAACTGCTTCCGAACTGCAAAGCAGCTGAATAGCAGTTGAAACACGGTCCATCTGTCTAGACTGAGCCTTATTGGATTACTTAATTGAAAATAATTATTAATTTTCAGTTTGACTTTACCCTAGAGAGGGAGTTTAAATAAGAGAGGTGTTTGTCTTCTGAACTGGACTAAATAAGAAAGTAAAAGAATTAGATAATACTTATACAAAAGTTAAGTATTGGTACACATCACCTGTTTAATTACTATGAGAAATTAATATTGTTTGAGAAGATGAAAGAAGGAACAATCCTTGCTACGTTGGCTACGCACTACGCTAGCCGTAGCAACTGTTGCAATATCGGCTACGGTTGACACGCAAAAAATGGGACTTCGCGAAACCAAACCGAAAGTCACAGTAATATTATAATGTTTAGATGTTTTCCGGTCAATCACGCTGAATCTAATGTACCTATTTTGATGAAATTTGATATAAAGGCAGTGTATGGGATGACTTAGGTGATAGTATACTGTTTATCCCGATTAAATGCTCAATTAAAAGAGAAATCATATTGTACGAGGACGACGTCGCGGGCAATTGGTTAGTTAGTAAATAAACATAAACAATTGAACTTACATTTATTTAAGTAAATAAGTCAATTTGACACATTAATACCTAAATTACAGCTTAACACAATTTCTTTGTTTAACATTAAATAATAGTAAATGTAAAGTTTATTGGTTTGGGTGCTCGTGCCTTATTCAGTAGGTAGTTAATGAGTAGGGAATTCAATTCACATTATGGGTAAACTCGAAGTTTCAAATAAATCGAAATGATAATAACAATAGCTGAATATGTATAATCAACTATTTTGTTCTCTATTACTTTTATATAAGCAGTTAGTCTAATCAACGTTTCGTAGGTATGAATGCAAAGCTACATTTTAAGTATTTCAGGTACCAAATTCTTCCATAGTCTATGTTTTTTATTTTTCTAGATATTTATGATTGTGTGACGAACGGACGGACAGGCGGACACACATTAAGCTGATTCTTAATTGATAGTTATGATAAAGACTAAATATGTATATGAATTTCTGACACGGCGCGGCCCACTAAGAAATTACGTAAATCTTACAGGAGCTTAAAATACCATACAGCTAATTAAATATTAAATCCTTAACAATTAAGTATAGGTAAGTACCAGGAAGGAGCCAGCTGCCATGTTCGGCTCACAACTGAAATGAAAATAATAATTTATTAATGAATTATGATTTTATTAAATTAAATACGGTATTAGTGACTGTCTCATTGGCGATATAGTCCGATGACTAACCATTGCTATTAATGTTACAAAAAAAAATCAAATCATTTTTTTAAGTCGGTAATTATAATTGCGTAAGTATGTGTGTTCGTGTGTATGTTCCTCAATCACGTCAAAACGGTTGAGGGGGTCAACACGTGCCAGTTTTATCCCACAGGAACTCGAGCCAAGCCGCGGGCAGAGGTTAGTTAATTATAAATATGTAGAAGTCATTTGCAGATACTGCCTCGTTGGCCGAGTGGTCGCAAGTGCGACTGCCGGGCAAAGGGTCTCGGGCAATTCCCATTCCAATACCCAGGTCGGGCTAAGTATTACAGGGATTTTTAAAAATTGTCAGTAAGTGGCATAATGTTTGGAATTGCGCCCAGTATATGGCTATTGCCACCCCCTATTACATGGGATTCATAACATAAATAGCGAAAAGTGAGTGTAACATTGTACAGTGGCATTAGGTGCCGTAACGTGCATCTCTGCCTACCCCTTCGGGGATAAGAAGGCGTGATGTTATCCTTACTAATATTATAAATCGGAAAGTGAGTTTGTTTGTTTGTTAGTTTGTTCCGCTTTCACACCATAACTACTAAACCGATTGCTTTGAATTTTTGCAGAAGTATAGTTAGAAGTCCGGATTAAATAATAGGGTACTTTTTATCCCGAAAAAATTTTATATTTCCGAGGGAAAACAAAAGTATTGGCATAGATGGCGCTGTGTGTATAGGTATATGTCACATTGGCTTTTTATCCTTTTGTGACGCGAGTGAAGCCGCGGGTAAAAGCTAGTGTTATATAATTTTCAGATACTTACGTAGCAGCACGTGACGCCTAAGTGTTGTTGTTTTGGACAGAGTGTGCCAGAAAGAAACACGATATTTTCTGGTGGGCAGTCAGACTTCATAACGCAGAGACCACCTTGTCGCACACACGGGTCTTCCAACTCATGCACAGCTGCAATTAAGAGAAATAAACATTCATTATAACCGAAATGTATAGCGCCTTGATTTTATGACTGTAATGTTATAATATTTAATTAAAATAAATAAATTATGGTAATTCAAAAACAAAGTTGTAGCATAAACGAACCACAGGGAAAAAATGTTCTCCAGTGATGTACAGGGGACTGAGAACCTAAACGTGGTCTTGTCAGGCCGCCACATCGTGAAACATACTAATTAAAATACACGGCTAAAATAACACTGTTCGAGAGTACTCGACTAATTTCAAGCTGCGGCAGGGGTCATAATCTTGAGCACATTATGCGATAGCAGCGTAAAAAGATTTTCATTAAGCTTAAAACCATTTATCTTAAAATTTTCTCTAGTTTTAATTACCTAAAATAATCTGAACTATGTACCTAAATATTGTAAAGTAAATAGGTAGGGTATCTTGTTATTCAACTCATATACAAAAATGATATTTTGGTACAATCCAGTTTAAATTAAACAAACTACTATGTAACTGTGTATTAGGGATAATAAGTACGACTTATAGATTAATCACAAAAGGTTATCGAAGTAGTTTACATAACCTTTATATCAGTTTTATTGCCTTATTACACTTTCTCCAAACAAAACTAATTTTATTTATCAGTTAATATAGTGATGTGCATTACACGTGATATTCTCATACCTTATCCGCTTATACGTCAATATATTTTCATGGCTCATCATCAACACCCTATAAATACCCACTGCTGAGCAAAACCTCTTCTCACACGGAGCTTGAGCATTAATCACCACGCTTGGTCAATGTCAATGCGGGTTGGTGATTACAAACTAATAATAATTAGAAATTACATATAAGCCCAGGTTTCCTCACGATGTTTTCCTTCACCATTTGTCAGTGGTGTCTAAATAATCTTAGAGAGTCTATACATATAACTCAGAAAAAGTCATATTAGTACTTGCCGTTGGCAGGTTTCGAACCCGCACCCTCATGCATGAGAAGCAGGCGTCTTAAACCTCCGGGCCACCACGACATGTTCATGGCTACGTTATTTCAAAAGCATGATACAAGATATTTACTTCCTATTATATCAATACGGTCTCATTAGTAACTGATATTGAATTGAAACTTGAACAAAGTTATTTATACTTTTCCGCGTTTGATATAACTATTGTCCGCAAATACTCATATCCTCCGACTTTGATCAGGTAAAAAGCTCCGTAGCTTCTTACCTGATCATCGTCCTAATGACGGTCGTCCCTCTAACGGTGACTTCATTTAAGCATGATCGTTAATTCGGCTAATTCCCTTTTAGAAGAGAACCCATATTCCAGTTGATGAAGATACGTCTCAGTTACGTCATCAGTACTAATCGAAATAATAAACAGTTTATTAGGGAATGTTATTAATATGAAATATCCGAAAATCCGAGATCCGTAGGTTCACTATGCATGTACATCTATCTCTATTACTTAGATACGAGTTTCTTCTCACATTGATTGAATATACAAAATTGCATTATTTTGACACCCACCACCCACCATTGGTTGCACTAAAAATGAAAATAGGTAGTATGCAGGTTCAGGTTAAATGGCATGACACTTATAGACAACTACAACTAATAAAAAAACAATCATCAGAACATAGTCTGAAACACAGGATGTCCTAGTTCAGGCACCTTATATTGTGAACCTTATATAGCTTTAAGCAAAACTGTATAATTCTAGACTATTATAGAAAATAAATATTATTATTTATTTATTATTTATTTATAGTACCTCCTTCTTTTTTTGAAGCCAGTAAAAAACTGTTAGGTGATGGGATTGGTTGCGTATTTTGTTTTAGTTTTTTTTTTATATTTATAGGCTTTTCTTATTTTCCAAGTTCTGTCAAAACTTGGTTGGTTGTTATCATTTAATATATAAACTGCTGCCCAACAGAAAATGCGTATCGGAATATTTTTAATACAACAATGAAGCACACATATTATTGTAGCTATTAATTTGAAAGAAAAAGCTTGAAACAAATAAAGCATAAATGAAGTCAGAAAAATTGTAAAAGGATATTTCTCGCTCTCTTCGATATTCGATCTTCTTGTTGCAAAAGATGTCGAAGCAAAAAAAAAATGGAAAAACATGGATAACACACGTCATCAATACAATGTGAATGCATTAGTTTATTATAAAGTATTATTTGATACTGTAGTTAAGTAACGTCGTTTTCTCAGTTATTACCTTGTTATACAACAGATATGTAATTAGTAGTAGGTATATTGTTTTTAACCGACTTCAAAAAATGGAGTTTCTCAATTTGACCTGTATGTGCGTGATTATCTCGTGATTGGCTGAACGGTTAACAATGTGGTTTTCAGCGAAGTGTTTGTTGTACTTTAGAGTCGGTATTAATACCTACTTATATTAATTTATCAACTTCAAAAAGAAAAGGGAGTTTAAACTGTCAAACACCAAGCGGTCACCGGTGACCGCAACCTATTGTTCTATAATTGTGTCTATATTGACGGTACTCGACGAGTTAAGATGTTTTTTTTAAATGTCGTTCATAATTAAATTTCTAGCCAGATCTAAATCTACTTTTCTTCATCTACCTAATACCTAAATTATAATTATTATAGGTAATCAACGGGGAAAGTGTATTTAGGTACCTATTAGAACGAAGTGATCCCTGAATTTTCCAGAATCATCGAATGATCGTCATTAAATCAAATGATTTGTCACATGGTATGAGTTCACCAGTCATTGCCTATCGTCATGTTGACCTTAATCATGACCTCATAAGATTAATAGGCGGCTGGATCAAGGGCCTGACTCAAGATTCCACAAAATTCGCCTTATCTTGGGAATTTCCGATCATAGTCCAATCTGTTTCACTTAAATTTCGATCAGTGTCGCTTATCTTCCCATCGACTACGGACTATGTAAGACTCAAGAGGAGTATAAGAATGAGCAAATCCGAGACTTCTTTACAGTCCCAATGGTCGTATCCTCTAAGTTTTGTCTTTTCATGTATTGATTTTGTATCCTTGTTTTTTTCATCCAAAGATTAGCGTAGCAGCATATGCAAGGGAGGTACATCCGCGAAGAAAAGTAAATTGTTAAACTGAAACTATCAAGATAATGTAAACAAAAGTAACTGCTTCTGTTTTATAACACAACATACAACGTACGTAGATGTTCGCTAAAGTTTATTGTTCTTAGTTTAATGGATAGCTCGTAAGACGAGGTTGTGACGTAAGTGAAATTAAAGTGTAGTTACTCTATTTACAGCGTTATTCGGAACGGTCATAACATCCGCACTCAACTTTATTTGTGGCAAACAGGTCAATGTCAGATCTGGCGTGGGTACTTCTCGTAATCCATCGGATGTTATAAAAAACATTTAGATCGACATTGACCTATTTTAAAACCACTATCTTTTAGAAAATGCTTCGATCGTTGGCGAAAAACTGCGTTGTAATGAATGCGTAGACGCGTGCGATTTTCAGTGTTTTGTACTTAATTGAAAGGTCTATTAATTATAGTTGTTCACATTTTTAAAAAGTATCAGTAACTTGAGATAAATCCTTACTAATATTGTCAAAATTTCGTCGATTAGAATAGCGCGTAGCTTATAATAAGCGATAGGTATAAACATCAATACGTCGAAAAAGTTTAACTGTATATAATATGATTGTTATCGTTGTATTTACGAGAAATCCCGAAATAACGTCTACATAATTAAATTTTCGGCAATGAGTCATTGGTACCTATTAATTATTATTTAGTTCTCACATGATGCCATGATAGTAATGAATTTGAAATTACTAACGTACGGTCCGATAGCGAATGACACAGTTTATTCAAAAATAATTTCACGTGACGCGACTGGACATAAGTAGGTAAGTACTATATACATGCTATATGTTAATTTATAAGTTTGCATATAGTTTGTGTTGACAATGAATTTACTATCGCAATACAAACTATAATTACGTCAAAACCGTTTTTATCTTGAATTCGTCAATTGCATTGTAATGTTATGATTTGGACCTACTTCTCACAAATATCTGCTAATTATTGTAGAAACAAAATGAAATTATGAGATTTAACGAAAAGCTGGTTGTAACCAGACCAGAAAGTAACCAATCTTGTTTGTTTTACCTGAAAACCACTTTACTTGCTTTACTTTTTTTGTTAAATTACTTATTTTCTTGTGGTATATAAGATAAAAAAGTAAGAGTGATAGATTAATTTATTCGCACAGATTGTGAAATCTCACCTTTGGGGGGGGGGGATTTCAAATCATTCAGTGGCTTATCTTTCGTCTAGGGTGAGGTGAGAGAGTATCAGACTCTTATTAACTAAAAACCACCCCGTTCCTACTCTTGCAATAAATCCCAGGAGACCAGGCAATGCGTTAGGTTATTCGCATCTACAAGTAACGTAGGTCTTCAACGTTTCATTACCTATTTTTAACTGTACTCTAATTTCGCTCAATCTTATAACCCGATAGCATTTCGACAAAATAGAACCAGCACTTAGAATCACCTAAAATATAGGTACACGACACGTAATATGACATATCACTGACGCATTTTTCTCGCTAATAATAACATTCTTAAGTACATCCATAAAGTAAATAGGTACCTACAAACTAGCTTGTTTTAAAATAACCTATATTTGGCACAAATATTTTTAGGTAAAAATTTCCGTTTAATTATTTAGGTGTAAAAATATATTTCCTGAATATTTTATGTAGGCAATGATAAATATGTATGAATGACATAATTTAAAAACTTTTGTTGACAAGGTTCTATGGAGAGATGTAATCTAATTAAGATATTTTATTACTAAGCTAAAATTCTTGCACAATATCGCATGCAGTAGCAGACACAAGTCATCATCGTCATCAATAACTTGTAAATCAGTTGACGTTGACACCCAATAAGCATAGTAAGTCCAAGTAATAGTCTAATAATGAGACAATTTACTAATTTGTATTCTGCTTAATTTATATGCAATGTTATGCAATAATTACAAAGAATTACTGATGCAAAATGTATTAATTTCTCGCAATTACATGTCCCAATCAGTACTAACATTATAAACACGAAAATATGTTTATTTATTTGTCTTTCTTTCATGACACGACAGAGGTGGTATGATTTTTATGTCTGAAGAGTTGAGAGTAACGTTCCTAAGCTGTTTTTCACCTAGCGAAGCCGTGAAAACTAAACAGCTAGCTATCTATACGTAATGTAGATTGATTTGTAAAAGCTTTTACAAACTATTATGTGTCAACATGTCTTATAACTTTTGTCGAACTGTATAAACCAAAATGTTGCCGTACTAAAATTTATAAGTTTTTATTCCTAGGCTCTATGAGGTTGTACGTAAACTACCACTATGACAAAGGTTTAAGACTCAAAATTCAAAGGGAGAAAGGTTTCTCTTTTCTTAGTAGTGGGTCAGTTTCAGGTTGAGGACAGATAATGATGACACCAGCATAAGAATAAACACATTACGTTTATTCAGTTATTTAAATTTCAGGCCTTTGCTTAGTTCAAAAGCTCTGAAATAGTTATTCAAATGTTCCTCTTTACCGCGTCATTAAAATCGTGCATTTGTGACTAATTGAATATTCATTTATTTGTTTTATTTTTGCGAGAAGAGGAGATAGTGAAATGTTACAAAAGAAAGAAGACTAGAAATGGGGAGGGTGTCAAGTAATTGACACAAACTGAATTGACGCGCGGTGCCGCTGGCGAAATCCGCAACAGGTTATTGTTGATTTTTTTAATTTACTTCGAAAATATCTGTATAATATTTTTGTTTCTGTATTTTAGGTACCAATAGATTGTGCTCTTCTGGTTTTGCATTACCATAAAAGTAGAGGACAATCAGTATCAGAAAATAGGTCCAAGATATCGGTGATTTAGTTACAAATTCTCAAAAATTATCAGATTGATCAGCCGTCGTCTATAATACCACTCATAAAATTTTAATTGAGACTTTTGGTGATTGACACATTGACGGACAAAACTATCAGTCAGTATGCGCTTATGTTTAACTACATAAAATTTTTTATATAAAAAATCTTCCGTGTGGAAGAATCAAAACGTACATTTGTCTGATACTTAGGTACCTACTATATACAAACGAATGAATGGATCATGGTAGTATTAACGCATAGATAAGTACAGTAAACACACAAGCTTAAGTAGGCCTTTTAGGTTAGGTACCCGGTAGGGCTAATTTGGGATCACTACAATGCACTGAGCAGATTGTACTGAGATTCCATTGAATACCAAAGATACACCTCAATTACTTTTCAATCAACACACTTAACATCAATTACGCAAATAGATAAATCTAAACGCGAGAAAGGCAAGCAACAACTATAGAATAATTATGAATAATGTCTTTTAATACAATTTATAGTCAAGTTGTTTTGTTTAACCAATGTCTTTCATTACCTACTATTAGGTATTTATTTTTGGATAAATACCTGATAGATACCTAATGTTTTTGCTTATTACTTAATATAAAAATGGCACTGGTATTTTTGTTTTGAGAGTTCGTAGATAGCCACTTCGCATTTTTGCATCGCTTGCACACGTAGCCTATTTCGCTATGGAAGGTACTTGCCTCTAATAAAGAGTTAGGTACAGTTCGTAGAAGAAAGTAGAATGAATATTATGAATACCCCTCATAAGCCTATTCTTATTTTAGCACAAATTTAATTTACGAAAGATTTTTTCGTTTTCATTTTCGTGCGTAAATATAAAAGAACATGATTATATTTTAAATGAAAAAATAATTGTAAGCGTAAAGATGCAGAACTAAATATAAACTTACTTTCAAAAGGTAGGGGATTGGACCTCACTGCGACCACCAGGAGTGCGAAGAATGCAAACACAATCATTTTCAGCAGTTTCATTTTTAAATAGTGTGAAGAAATCGCTTGTGTACTACTAGCGTGGTGTATTCCGTTAATGTATGAGCACGCCGGTCCGCTCAGACGCTTATATAGACCCGTAATGATAAACAACGCGCCTCGCCACTATGCGCCACACATCTCACTATGTACGCGTTACAACCAACATACACTGTTAATGCGTATTTTTTTCCAGACGCACTCAAATTCAGTGTCCTTGTCATCTACCACTTCAAATTAGTTCACATCCCACGCCACCCCCTTTCGTCACTACAACACGGATCTTTCGCGAAAAAAATATGACGAATCACGTGGTCGGTTATCGCTTTCAATGTACATAATATTATATTATTTACAAATGTATTAACTGTTTTGATTCACGCTCCCTATATAATAAACAATTTGAAAGTTTTTTTAGATTGTACTTTGAACAACAAATTGTGGATAGTGGGTAATTTAATTTTTTAGGTAGGTATACAATTATAATAAATCTAATTTCCGTAGCAGGTAGGAGCATTAAACTTAATGCTTCCAGAATAAATTGTTGTCGCGTCTTTTAAGTAGGTATGTAGGGAACAGTGTCACATATAAAAGAATGTTATGACATGAAAACAGAAATAATTGTTAGGTAACCGTTTGATTGGTCGAGCCCGCACTTGACCTTGATACAAATTTGTTTGTCGCTGGTGTGACCTGTGAACTGACGCTCATGTGACGATTTTATTAAGCAATTTATGTACACTGTAGATTAAGTATACGACTCGCAATATCATTCCAGGAACTGTAGGTATCAAGTTTCGCACTTCACATCGCATCGCATATGCGCAGCCGTCCTATGTCCGGCCAGGCGGCCACATTCAGCGTCTTCTCTGCTACTATCGGTCCACCAACTGATAACTCCCTAATCAGTAATCTGTACCAATTATTCACAGAATAATGCGAAAACTCCTTCGATCAAAAATTGGGTCAGGGTTTCAGAACAACTTTATTTTTAGATTCCGTGAACATTTTATGGATAGTAAATAAAGGAAACATTGCAATTGTTTGTTTATAATACGAGCATCTGAGGTCGAGCGATATACTGTTGGATGTAATAAGATACGGACTTTCAACGCAGAAGTCGATAGATATCGTAGTAAGATAGTTACTATTTTCGCGCGAAAGTACCTAATCTGTGTAACTTAGGTACCTACTGAACAAATTTAAATTTTATTTGCGATGGCTTCCAGCCAAAAGAGGTGTACCGTTAATGACGGGAAGAGCTCTTGCGCGATACATACATA